CTACAACATAATAGTTATAGACACTTTATTCGCGTTTTTCTAAACGACGATTTCGATACAAAATCTACGGGTTTAATCCTTAACCCTTGAATAGACGCGTATGGTACTGGCAGTCCCATGCCTTATCATTTCTGTAATTACGTAAAAACTATTACAGCTACGGCACTGTGGATTTTTGAGATCTCAAAATGATGTTTTAGGAACCCTTTACATGAGTTTCAAACGAAGGCTTCGTTTTATTACTTTGGAAACACTCAAACAATGCCGCGCGTACATGATTTGGGACTGAAAATCCCAACGCGTGTATTTACGTCTCCTTTTTTCGGCGAACGTTGATCCGGTAGTTCACGCACATATTCGGTAGTTTTATTGTTTAGATATCTCCTTTTTATTTACGTGTTAGTAAATTATTTAGTTGTGTATTTCTAATAAGTATCAATTTTATATAAAAATAAGAATAAAAATATATTGATCCGTTTTTGTGTTGCATTCATGCACGTATCCGATGGGAATCCCATAAATGGTGAAATATTTGTTTTATTTATTGAGAACTGCAAATTACATTACAATTTAGGCGAAAACGTCACTATTGATGAGATGCTTCCAGCATTTCGTGGTCGTTGTGGTTTTCGGCAATATATACCGTCAAAGCCAACAAAATATGGTATAAAAATCTTTTGTCTTGCTGACGCAAAGCTTTTTTATACTGCCAACATGGAGATCTATTGCGGCCAACAACCTAACGGACCTTACAAAAAAAGTAATTCTGCGGAAGATATTGTCATGCGAATTTCAGAGCCAATTTATGGAAGCGGAAGAAACATTACCGCAGACAATTGGTTTACAAGTCTGAAACTTGTAAACCAAACTTTAAAGCTTTGGAAGAAAATATCATACATTGAAACTGTCCGAAAAAACAAGAGAGAACTACCACCAAGTTTTGCTTTGCCAAAACATAGAGCACAGTATGACAGCATTTTCGGTTACACAAGAAACGAAACCCTTGTCTCCTACGTGCCAAAGAAGGGTAAGACTGTTGTATTGCTATCCAGCTTGCATACGTCAAGCAATGAAGTGGCAACTAATAGACAACGGAAACCGGAAATTATCAAATACTATAATAGTACAAAAGCTGGAGTGGATGTGGTGGACAAATTGTGCGCTACGTACAACGTTGCTAGAGCAACAAAGCGATGGCCGATGGTCATCTTTTATCATTTATTGAATGTAGCAGCGATAAATGCTAGAATTATTTTTTTGGGCAATGGCAACGAATATATTTCAAGACGAGACTATCTAAAAAAATTATCTCTCAGTTTAGTTTTAGAACAATTGACGAGGAGATCGCTTATTCAGTCATTGCCAAATGAACTGAAAACCATGCTAGCAAAGCATAAACCAGCAATACCAGACGACAACAATCAACTTGGAACAAGTCGAAGATCTGTCAAAAGGAAACGATGCGAAGCTTGTTACATAGAATCGAAGAAGGACGCCAGAACAACCTTTACATGCGAAAAGTGTAAGACCTATATATGTTTGAAAAAACACGTTAAATCAATTTGTCAAAATTGTCTTGAAGGTAGTAGTGAAAGAGACGTGGATAATGAACAAATGTGTTCGTGCCCATGTGTTTTACAAAATCTAGTGTCAAAACTTTCAAACTTTAAAGCATTTTATCTTTCTTATTTTAAATTGGACCCCCTAATGTGACCCAAATCGTATCGGTTACGGAGTTATTAATGTTTTAAATTTATGGCTGGGATTTATGGATAACTTCACACCCGTTCCTCCACCTACCATGTCGTTTAATTATTGTAAGGTCGGCACCTTTATTGGCCAGTAAAGTTGTTGAAGTGTGCCTCATACAATGGCCGCTATAATATTTTTTAGTTACCAGTTCCCGTTTCTTTGTTGTTTTTCCTATATAAAAAGTGTTTCATGTTTGAAATGAGTGGCAGAAAAAAAGACAAAATTTGGCATTATTACTTAGAAAAAATGGAAAAAGGAAAGACCGGTAGCAGAGCAATTTGTAAGAATTACGGAAAAAATATACAAGGACTAGTTCAAAGGATGAAAGAACACCATGAGAAGTGCAAACTCAAAATCTCTGATAGAGGAGACCCTGGACCAAGTAACATAGAAAGTAATTTAGTTGAAGGTAAATAGTATGTATTGCAACTTAAAACGACGTAAATGAATAAAATAGTACTATTTTCAATTATTTCAATCTTGTTCTATAGGAATTGAAAACTCATAAGAATCAACCATTGCTAGTAAAGAACAGTTTTCAATTAACACCTCTCAAAAACGACCTGCAAGCGCTTGCTCATCTACATCTTGGACTTTATTTGCTGAGGATGATTCGGCTGTTGTAGGTAAAAAACGGAATACGAATGCTAATACAAATTTGGAAAGCTTTATTGTTCGAACGGATATTGATAAAAAACAAGAAATAGATAAACAAATTGCAAGAGCTGTATTTGCAACAAACTGCAGCTTTAGATGTATGGACAATCAACAAGTAAAAAAAGCAATTGAATTGTTAAGACCCGGGTATAATCCCCCTTGGGAAAACAATTTCTACAACACTTTTGGAACAAATTTACGAAGAAGAGAAAACTAAATGTTGTGGAAGTCTTACTGGGTGTTGCGTAAACATATCTATTGATGGTTGGTCTAATGTATGATATGAACTTATAGTTTGCGCTACTGAAACTGGACACTCTTTTTTATATGAAACTATAGATACATCCGGAAATCCTCATACAAGTGACTATTTAACTGAAATTGCTTGCAATATAATTTCCTCATGTAAATCAAAATATAACTATAACGTGACATCATTTGTAACAGATAATGCTGCTAATATGGCACTAATGCGAAAAACCTTACAAGATAAATTGGACCCCAGCATTTCAGTGATAACTTATGGGTGTTCAGCTCATCTTTTAAACCTACTTTGCAAAGATTTCGAAGTAACAAATAACAAAGAGCACGTTACACAAATTATAAAATATTTTAGAAATAATCAATTAGCGAGGGCCAAATACAGACAGCTTGATGGAAAAGCATTAGTGCTGCCAAGTGATGTGAGATGGAATAGTATGGCAGATTGTTTGGAAGTATATGTAACTCAATGGGATAAACTATTAAAAGTGTGCGATGAGAATAAAAACGAAATAGATTCGACAATATACAAAAAAGTTTCAAACATAGGTCTCAAACGCTCAGCGGAAGATTATTTGAATGTCTTAAAACCCATAATTATACCACTTGACAAATTACAAAAAAAGAATGCTTTCCTCTCTGATGCAGTGGAAGTATGGAAAGAATTGAAAACATTACTCCAGGAAAAATTATCATCTGTACAAATGAAAGTTTTTTATAAACGGTATAAGCAGGCACTTACGTCTAACCATTATATAGCCTATATTTTAGATGTTACTAAAACTATGTATAAGTTAACATCTGTAGAAAAAGAGGAGGCCTTAAATACAATTAAGGAAATGTATGCTAATACCGGTTTACTACCGCTAATTATAAAACTAGAAGCAAAAATGGAACCATTTTCATCAGTAATGTTTTCGGAGGAAGTCTTATGTAATGTAAGTGCTTTACAATGGTGGGTATCACAAACACACATTGCTGAAGTAGAGAAGGTACTGCCAATATTAAAGCAATTTTTATGTGCGGTTTGTTCATCTGCTTCTGTTGAGAGAATATTTTCAACATTTGGGCTTGTTCACTCTACTTTACGAAACAAGTTAGGTGTTGAAAAGGCAGGAAAACTTGTTTTCTTATATAAGTATTACAATGAATCTTAATTTTTGTATTAAATGTTTTTTTAATTTTGTAGTAAAGTGCACTTTAATTTTCAGTTTTGTTTTTGATTTAAATGATTCATTAAAATCATGATTTAAATCAAATGATTTAAATCAGTCGAACCCTGGTTCACAGCATAGAACTGCTGACTAGTGAAGTGACTTAAGAAAATTCTTGCGTAAATAAAATGCTGTCTAAAACACTTACACAATAAATAACTATTAAATAATTGCAAATAAAGTCTCATTGTCAGTCATGTTCCTGTCACAAAAAAAATATTTTTTCTACACCTGTTTTCCACTTTAGGGAATCAACGTAAAGTAAAACATGCCAAAAAAGTTTATGAGACAAATTAAATGTTTATTTTTGTCGATCAGTGTTATTAGCTTTAGATAAGCAGAATGGCCGTAATCATGGTTACCCTGCATGTTTTTGTATTATTGTTGTAAAACACCTATTTCAAAACATTATGAAATATAAACACTTCTTAGAGGTGCTCATTATGTATTAATATACCGAAAATACCCTGTTATAAATAACCTAAACAATTTTGCATAAAAAATTAATCCGTCCTTAACGCTTGCAGAAAACAAATGTAATAAAAATACTATATAAAACGATATACCATTTCAATTAAAGTTACAATCTTAGATGTAAAGATTAAAACAAACAACATTAGAAGATCAATCAAAATACCTACTTGGTGTTGGTCCTTTTAAGTGGTTTATTAGGATAGTTTTAGGATTATCTAAAGAGATAAGATCATGGTGTGATTTTTGATTAGAATTGTTATTACTGGTGATAGATAAGCAATATACAGCAAAATCACAGACCGGTGTTACTTGTAAACAATCTACTTATCAAACCATTCCAATTACATTTTCATAGGGACAGGACAACGAGAATGTAAATTTTGAAGTTGTATTCATTTAATTTCAACTTCCCATACCCGCGTTAAAAAATTTAGGAAACGATGTGATTATTTACAATGTTAAAACCGAGTTTAAGGTCACCGTTTAGAAAAACACCTAAATTATTAACTTAAACGTTTAACATGACGTATTAAATTCGTTTTACATAAAATTTATTTAGGTATGTATTTGACGGCGAGTTAATTTGATTTTTTAAGTACAAACATATATGAAAACCGTCGTAATATCTTTCTCGAGACTTACCTCATAAAGATTTTTTAAAAGGGATGCCGTTCGAGACAACCAAAATCTCCACGGGTTTTCCAAGGCCCAAATTTGTTCCAAAGCGACTATTTTACACTTTTTCTTCGTTACTTCTTCACATTACATTCGTTAAAATATCGTAAATTACTACTTCGTGTGATAATTATTGATACGTTATCGCTGTCATTGAACGACTGACGTAAAGGTTCCGTTGCGCCATCTTCAAAAAAATATTATAACTTAATTAAGTATAAAAATTATCATTCAAGTTCTTTATGATTTACTTGCTAGAGGGCGCCGCTTAAAATAATGATGATGACAAAATATAATAAAGATATCTCTAAAAGTGTCTATGGAAGCAATTGTCGATATCAAATTAGAAATAGAAAGGTTAACTGTAGTATCAAAGGAAAAGGTTGAAGGTTCTTAGAATATTATCTATTCGGTTTTTTTAAGAATAAACTAAACAGCAACATCTATTTCTAGGACACTTCTACATAAGGAAAAAATTCTCCGTCCTTGTGTAAATGTTTCTATATATAGTGAATGATGGACTGCCTATACACAAATAATTTTAGCAAATAAAATTCGAATACATATTTATTTATTATAATTTATAAATTTAGAGAAGTACAAAGTTCGTTATAATAATTGTATGAAAAAAAGTTGAAGATTATACAGGTGTCCGGAAATTGCGTCTATATATCTAAAGAAGTGATTCTACATCAAAAATCATGAAGAAAAGTTTGTATAAAGTCCGGTCCTAAATACCGGCGAGACGATAGCAACAAACCGCTCAGCAACAAACTTTTTCCTTTATATTTCACCTACTTCTAGGGCCCATATCTTTGTTATCTAGAAAGATAGCGAAAAACTAAGCACACGGTTGGAAAGCTTGGCCTTTTCTCTATCTTAAACCGAGTTTTCGTCCGCCGATATATTGATAATAAGAGCAAGAAAAAATAAGAAACGTCGCGCTGCATTCAATTTACCTCAGAATTACCAAACTTCACGGCCTTGTGCAGCCGTTACCAGATGGAAATTCAATAAATGGTTTACATATTCGGAAAGAGCTGACCTTGGACTATCTTATTCCGAGTTTTCGTCCGTCAATATCTGTCGGCGTCTGTAAAAAAAA